TCTGTTTAGAAAGTAATAACAATGGATTGTCTTTTGAAGGAATCTTTCTATTTTCTGAACAGACTAAATGATAGTTGATTATGAATTGTTTCTGAGAGGATTTTCTTAAATAATTTGCTCCAATCTCAGTAATTAAGATTCTTGAGATTTCTATTCGAATAAACTTTCTTATCTCGAGGATCTCAACCCGACCAACCCAACCCAACCCGATCGACACATAATTGGGTTGGGTTGGGTTGGGTTTCAACATTTACATGGGTTGGGTTGGGTTGTATTTCGAATAAACCGACAATGTTGGGTTGGGGCAAAAACCGACCTAACCCAACCCACGCCCACCCCTAGGTTGGGGTCTGTGAAGGAGGCGAGTGATATTGAGGGAGAGAATTAGGGTTAGGGTTAGGCGAGAGATATAGGTGGGAGAGAATTAGTTTGAATTGTTATATTAGTAAAAATATTTATTTTATATGTATATATTAATTAATTAAAAATATCTAATTTTGGAAAAAGCAAACTTTGTACCTATTTTGGAAATGTGAATACATAAACTATGGTTTTGTGTTATTACCACATAATTTAAACATTAAATAAAAATAAAAAGAGAAAAAGGATCTTCCCCAAAAAACCCACCTTTCACCACAGGCTGACCATCACCTCACCATTCACCGTTGTCGTTGTCGCCGTCGCCACGAATTCATTCCTTCAAAACCCCCCAATTTCAAATGTTTTTATCCCAAATTTGAAAACCCATTCCCAAATTTCTTCTACCATTAATTTGTTGGAAAAGGTGGAGTGGGGTCAAAATCGTCTAAGGCGGTGGCAGTGATGGTAGTTTGCGATGGTGGCGATGTTTAGGCATAAGACGATGATTGAGAAACGACAAAAGAGAAGCCGACACCACACCGAGAAGCCATAAGAGCGACGGAGAAAGTGCCAACCAAAGAAAAGATCCCAAATTTTATACCAAATCATGTTATATTCAAAATAGTAGCATCATCATCATCTTCTTCCATCGAAAAGAAGAGCAAAATCGAAATATAGGTTTGTACTAACAAGATTTGTGAGATTGAGGTCGAGAATAGTCCAAAAAATTGTGAACGTTGGACTCCCATCAAGGCCGCGAATTTCATATCATGAGTTTGTAGGATTAAGGTCGAAAGTCGTCCAAGAAATTGCTTGAAGGCATTAGCATTGAGAAAGAGAGCCGACGATGAAATGAAACTTAGATAGCAACAACAATCGCCTATGGGTTTTCCTGGTTTAGTTTCATTGATGGGGAGTGGGGGTATGAACGACAGGGGTTAGCGTTGAGGAAGATCCTTTTCTCTCTTTTTATTTAATATTTTAATTATTTACAATAGAAAAATGTAAAATTATGATTCTACCCCTTTAAAAATTGTTCAAATATGGTCAAAATCATTTTTTTGTCAACTAACAGAAAAGCGGATATTTTCCATCCATTTGGACTCCAGACGCACATTTATGGAATTTTAGGGATATTCAAAATTCTTTTAATCAATGTATAACATATTGACCTCGAAAATAGCACACCCAAATTATAAGAAAGCTTGTAGACACCAAATCTTAATGTTGGATTGAACACAGATTGCACGAGGCAACATTTATACCATCAAGAAGCTAAAGGAAGGAGAAGGAAGAACACCATTCTATGGGCAATGAAAATATCTTGACAATTCAGTAGCAACAATATTACAAGGACCATTTAAATCTAGTTCTATGAGATCACAGTGTTAGAACCCATGCCAAGGAAGGACAAGGCGGCGAAAATTCTAAGAAATCCTCCCTTGGTGCCATGCTTCCACGAGTTCGGGTAAAGATTTTGGTTAGGAGTTTACCATCCTATATACCATCAATTGTTCTAAAAAGATGACCATGAAATGGAAAAATTTAAGATGTGCCCAACTCGGCTCTTTCATCTAATAGCTAATGGTCCATTATCTTTGTTTCTTTCATCATCAAAGCCTCCAGTTAAGAAGATAGACTGAACATCATACAAGCCACAAAGTTTTGCGGGGAAGGATAAACAAAATAAAGTTAACTAGCAATGTAATTTTAGATAGAATATTACAGCAGTTATAGATCAATCATTTGTAACAATAGCTCAAGCCAGACAAAGTCAATCAGCTTAAAAATTGGAAGTTGATACCAGATAAGCAGCATGTCACTAATAATTTACATTTCTTGTACGACTCATTTGCCAGTGCAAGTTTTATATGTGCCCGAGAGTTTGTGAGCAACCCAACTCATCATTTAAATGGTCTGTTTTAGAGCTGTCAAATAAATATTGCCCTAGATAGCTAGATCTACACGTTCCCGGTACTTCTAAGCCCAGTCTTCTATTTCTGACAAATATGTTCTTTATATTACGAATTCAACAGTAACACTAAGGGCTAAATTTATGACTTTGAAAAGATGCTTCGAACTACATAAAGCCTCCTAACTAGATATGGACTATCCCCAGCTAGACAAACATTCAGCATATCAAGTTTGTAATTTCTTGAATGAATTTTCTATGAAGTCAATAGATAATTATTACCTCGGATGATGAGGAGAAGACTGTCGATCTGGTGAGGATTGTGGCCCAGAGCCCCTACTCAATCCGCGTTCCACAAATGCCCATGCTCGACTCCCCACACTCAGCTGCGATTGCTCATTTATACCAGGAAAACCTACTGGGACCAAAGACCCAAACTCTGTGGCATCATGATCAAATGGATACAGCATCACCAAAGGTGGAACGGGAGGTCCATTTGGAGGCACTCCACTGGAGTTCATAGCTGGTAAAGAATACATGCCATAAACCACATTCAGAGAATTATTTTGGCTAGAGTTAGACCTCATTGGACCATTCCGTGATTAGTAAGAAGGGGCAGAGTTGTGTCTGTGAGAGCTCCATGACCTCTCAGCTTGGCTCTCTCCGGAAGCCAATCGATCAATTCTTGAGTTTGATTTCTCCGCTTGGCTGCGGTTGTGGCCACGTGCAGTGGATCTTGATTTTGAACTAGCATTCCAGTTCACCTCTCTATCACCATAACTATCATTCCTATCAAAATTATAATTCCCCCTTCTTGTACCGGAAGAGTGACGCTTCCTGACAGAATGAGAAACCTTCTGAAGAAATGGGAAGGAAAGAATTAAAAATATTAAACTACGTTTACGGTGCCAAAAATTTCTATTAAGCCCTTGTTTGGTAGGGATTAAAATCAAATTTTTAGTAGATTTTGATAAAAGTTGATGAAATGTGTGGTTGAAAAGTTGTTGATCCCATAAAATGTGTGGTTGAAATTAATTGTTGACTTTGACTTAGTTTAAAATCTTTATTTTGATCAATACCAAACTGGGGTTAAAATATAAACAAGCTTTCTAGAAGAAAATCACAGCATGGAAGAAAGAATATGCACAAAAAGGTAAACCCTTGTTTGCAGGACATAAATCATTTGTCAAATAAATGAATTATCTTGGAAAGCAATAATCCTCAAGAAAAAAGAACGAACGCTTTCCGTTAATTCACATCCCATTTTTCCTGATAAACTGCCAATAATAGGAGCTGTTTTGTGATTAAAATTAACGAAGCCTTCTTTTCTGCTTCGTGTATGTACTTGTGTTATTGGCCTTCACAGTATGTAGGGTCATCTCAGTATGTTATTGCCTACAGAAAGGGTCAAGGGCCCAAAGTAATATTCTTTTACAAATAGTTTTATGCATTGCATGGTGTTTAAACATATAGTTGCAAGATTTACTCTAATCTTAATTTAGAGGTGTAAGCTCACATAGTTCTACAGTGAGCCTTGAGCTCCTCAGATGCACAATTTGACATGGAGCTCCCACCAGACCTGAGCATTGTGCACACCAGGCACTTGACTAGCCCAATGCCCATTTTTTCCTAGATAAAAAAGTTTAATGCGTCTTATGGATTAATGGGAGTTGTATTTGGGGTGAAAGATGTTTTGTAAATAATGTAGCGGGTACACTTAATTCTTATGTGTATCACTACTAGATGTCTATGTCGCCTTATTTGAATGTATTATATAATGTGTGATTCTTTTGCACATGCCAATACTAATACGCACGTGGTTCATCTTGTAAATTTGTTTAGAAGTCCAAATGTTATCCTATCATATAACTTATTTTCCAAACGAGTTACGGTCTACAATGAGTTAAGATACCTTCGTAAGTGCTGGTTTGTGTGTGCGCGAACATATCCATGTGCAAAGTCACTGTGAAGGCTCTAGTGGATGACATGAACGCAGACTAATATTATTTGTTACAATTTTTAGAACATTCCCAGTTTATGGACAACAAAAAACTAGCACTTGAATGTGGGTTTGAGATCCTCCCATGATATGGACATTTCACTTCAAAAGGGTTCAAACAGCCATGCCGTCATGAGCCCAAAATCATACCATACGCGTGGTAGGCATTGAGATAGAAAGTCAAAACCTTCATTACCCTTTCCATGCATCAAACCCCCCCTCATATAAGATATGGAAGCAACACCCAAGATGTGTTGTCTCTAAGTAGAAAGGTAACCAAAAGCCTCCTAATAGAATCAGGAATAGATATATTTCCAAAAGGGTTAAATTGAACACACACAATGAAAAAGGGAGCAATTTCATGAGGAATATTATCTTACGGGATTAGGCAGGTAAGTCCCAGTCCCGCTGCGATATCTTGGCATATCATCCACGTAGTGTTGATACCCACGAGGAGGTCTAACGGAAACCGAATGGAGGGGAGCAGCAGGAACCAGATGGTGCCCATAACTTGTCATAAGCTGAGTGACAGGATTCATGTCGGTCGAAAGTGGTCTATCAGGACTATCATATGAAAATTGACCCTGCAGATAGATAGGTGGAACCATTACAGGTGAGGGATGGAGTACAGGTCCGCCATGTCGTGGATTTTGGCAAAACCTTCCAAATTGCAAACTTTGCATATGGCTAGCTAAGTTGCTATTAAGAGACTTCTGCTCATCAGATGTCTCAACAGCAGTTGTCCCTCTCAAAGAACTCGAAGAATTTAAATCTTCAGATTGTTGAAATCCATTAGAACTAAAGTTTTGACCAGATTCACTGGTATCTAAACTCTCATAACCTCCAAAATGGCCAGTTGATGCATAAGAAATTCCACCTGCCTGAGATGGAATATTATAAACTGGTAGCATTGTTAAAAATGGGATTGGTGGCCCTGTAGGATAAAATGAAATCAGCGCAGAATTATCTGTCACTCTCTGCCTAGAGCCAGGACCAATGAGCATTGGTTCAATAAAAACATTTTTCTTTCCCCAGTTTTCCTCTGTGGATTTAGACATCTCCACTGATGATCCAAACCAGGAACTCTCCGATGAGGTTCTATTTCTCAAAAAATTACTGTCGGCAGCAGACATGGACCTTGAACTTCCTGATCTTTCGTCCGGGTAAACTTCACTATTTATAGCAACCGGCAATGGGTAACTACCATTATTTTCCCTCATTGATCCACTTTTTTCCTCAGTATGTTTTAGCTGGATTCTCGTAGAATTGCCAGAGCCACGCAATCGGGACGGAGGCACGTATTTTAGACCAGATAATGTCTCTGGCTGTTTATCCAACTGAAGAGGAACAGGTTTTCCATTCTCAGGGTCACGGCCACCAAAGGAGTCAACATCCTGCTCCTGCCAGAACTTATCTGCTTCTCCAGAGTTCATCTCCAGACCAAAGTTTTCATTTCCTTGATCAATTGAATCTTCAGAAGGTGAGTGTCCATTGCCAGGGAAATAATGAGTAAATTGAGGTGAAACAAAACCCTGAGGAAATTGCATGTTCGAAAGCGAGGGATCAATGGAAGGAATATTTGTAGGAATCAGTCCAGGCAGATTTGTTTGAGTATATCCTATTGAAGCGACAAAGGAAGGTGGGACTGCAAAAGGAATATGAGCTGAAGCTATGTTAAATGGCAAGGGAATCTGACTATTCAAACCATGATGTGAAGCAAATGCCAACATGTTCACAAAATCTTTTTCTTCGTGATGAGTCCCCTGTGATCCAGGAGTGGATGATAGCTCTTCATTACAGGCATCTAAGCCCGATTCTCGACAATGGCTATTTGAACCACTGTTGGACTCAGTATCAACACTACAATGGGATATGACATGCCTCGTGAATGAAGTATCTTCAACAGATGATCGACTGCTATGGCTTGCCAGTGGTTCAGACTCAGTATGAACACTACGATGGGATATGACATGCCTCGTGAATGAAGTATCTTCAACAGATGATCGACTGCTATGGCTTGCCAAACTTTCAGAAACGAGGTTTTTCTTGTTACTAGTATCCAGCCTCACAGAATTAGCATGCATCTTAGCAACATCTGTTCTACTACTCTGTATTTCAGAAGAGACATCACCGCATGTGTCAGTCAGTTCTGGACTAGAGCGTGTTCTAGTAAAAACAAACCTTCCTTGGATGTCATTCACCAAATGCCCATGCGTCAGATCTCTTCGAATTTTATCATTATGCACAACCTGATGGGAAGCATTGTCTCTTCCAATTTGATCAGAGCCCCTCATGCTGTTCAAATTGGCAAGATTTTTTATTCGTTGAGTTTGAGAGGCCACAGAGAACTCACTCGTAGTAGAAATGCTTCCAGTTGAATAATTATCATGCTGAGAAGAATCATTATGTGCATGAATCCCTTTGCCACCCATTGCATGAAAAGAATAGATGTCATTTACCTTTTTGCCATTGACACTATTCTTAGAATTCTCATATTCATGAAGAGTATGCGTAGTTGGTAATCTCAAAAACAAATCAGTCCCAGGTGCATCAAGCCAGTGGCAACTGCCATGCCTTTCCCATGTATTCATGAAAAACTGGTTGATTTCATTAAGTAGATTTTCTTTAGGGCAGTCAAGTAATCTAGCCAGTCTTTTAGCTCCATATCCAAATGCACTTTGTATCCTGAAGAAATTACCTGAGAACAAAAATGTACATGAACAAGAATGATGGGAGTACAACAACAAACTATACCTTATTCCCCAATAAATTTGGGTCAGATACAAATAGAATAAAGGAAATCACACAAAGAAAAGCTTCCCACAAGCACTATAGATTCCAAGGGTAAAAGTGAAACAATCGATTATCTACAAAGTACAAGTACATTTCGCAGTGTTATGCAGGAGAATACTGATTCTTGCAAGTTGGCATTATTAAAACAAAGAAAATTCCAGGGAAAAAAAAATAATAACTACGACTTTCATTTGCAATATAATTATAGTAAATCAGCTCAAACCAAAATTGACACTAGAAAGCACTGGTAGAAAAAAATCCTTAATATCTCCCCTTTTTAACATTTTTCCCCCCACACATTTTTTTGGAAAATTAAACATTGGTGATTTTGGTTCCTGTGAACAATGTATTATAGGAAAACAAGTTAAACTTCATTTTCTCATTGGAACTCATAAATCCAAATAAAAACTTGAATACTTGCATGTTGATTTGTGGGGTCCTGCTACTGTGTTTACTTTATCTAGCTTCAAATATTACCTTTTAACAATTGATGATTTCTCAAGAAATGAAATTTTGGAAAATGTGGTTAAAAAATAAGGAAAAATTTTAAGTTTATGTGTAATGTTATTTTATGGGAGAATGTGAGGTGGAAAATGAGTTTTGAAAAAAATGTATTTTTGAAAAAATTGAGCCAAACAAGGGCTAAATTAGCGGAAAGATCAATGAAAATGATGTATATGACAGCCATTGATCTGAATATCATTAAGGCATATAAGTTTATAAATAACCAATAGTTAGAGGCTTTGAGTAAAAATTTACTTCCAGCAATCCGTTTGTAACATCCCAAAAATTATATAGAATAAGATTATTTAATGATAAGAATTTTTGACCTAAATGCCTTTTAAGAAATTTGAAAAAAATTCAGAAACTAAAGTGAAATAAGTATTAATTCTTTTTATTAGGGCTAAATTATTAGATTTTGATAGAGCGAGATTTAATATATCAATATTGAGCTCATTAGGTAGTTGGTATTAAATGACGCATCATGGATTTGAGAAAAAGTTAATTAGGATAATTTAAGCCCAAGTTATTGAAATTCAAAAAACAAAAAAGTTATCTTTAATTTGAAATTAATTAAATTGGTTTATGATTTAATTTTTATGGCAACCACGTGTGTATAAGATAAATGTTGATTTTGATAAGTTAATCTCATATTTTAATTCTGATAAAGATTAATATTAATCATATTTTGATTTTGATAAAGTTTTTATAATCCTAATTTGATTAAAACTCCATTACTTTAAATTCTAACACTAGAATACTAAGTCAATGGAACTAATTTCAAATTAACTTCCACATGTCCTATTTTGATATAGATTCAATTAGATGATTAGGATTGGTTGATTGTTTTAATTAGGAAAACAATTAATATGATATAATCGTGATTCTATTATTTTAAACCAATTATTATCCAAATTCCTTGTATTACATAGTTTTCCAATTTTGATTGCACACAAACTCAATTGAGAATTTCACCTATAAACACTGCAAGAATTCCCGATATTTCACTACAAAAAATATAGAGAGCCATGGCAAAGAGAGAGGAGAGAAAAAAAAAGTAGAGAAAAATAATAGGAGAATTTCTTACGCACAAAATTTTATCTTCTTTTCAATAAGTAGGTAAGATACTTATGTACAAGTGGTTTGTTTTCGTACACCTTTATGTATTCAATCGTTTATGCATGAAATGCTAGTGGATCATCGGGTTCTTTACAAAGAGATAAAATCTTTCGAGGATTTAAGATGACCTATGATATGTGTGTCACTTGGTCACCGATATACTCCATAAGAGGAGTGGTACGAAGTGTTTAAATTGATTGTTATATAATTGTATATGGAAACTACGCGTATCTTACTGGGTGTTTTTAAATACTCACTCTTACAATAATTTTAGAGGTTTGTTCAGGTCAATTGAATTCGTGATAGGATGGTGATGCCGGCTACCAACTGATTGAAGGAAAATAAACATTTAATTTTTCAGTCCTTCAATTTATTAGTTTAGTTTGTTCAAAAACATGTTATTTAATTAGTTAGGTGATTATGTTTTTTAAAGATACAATTTCCATATTTTAATTTAAATTTATGAATATTCCGGTTACTTTTTTAGAAAGAAATTTATACCATAGTTCTGCATTTAATGTAAAGAAAAGTCGTTTTTTTTGTAACACTCCAGTGTTTACGAAAATTTGGGGTATTACACCGCTTGCATTTGGTGGCAGGAGTGATGCTATCATTACAAGCCACAACAAGATTCTTTGTCACACAAAAGTCAAGGGGACAAAATCCAATAGTCAGAGTGAACAAAGATGGGCAACAAGGCCAAAGGTCCTACACAAAATAATTTAAATGATACCCCATAACTAAGGAGAAAATAGGAAATATAATGACACCAGATGGATCATTGTTGTGCAAGTATAGACAAGTCTGGTAAAGAGAACAAAGAGGAAAATGAAAATAACAAGGTTAAACAAGGTGAAAACAGTAGAACTGAAGCTACTTGTACCTTTACTAACACTACGTCCCAGGTTGTTGTTCACACGTAAAGGGTCGACTACATTGAAATATTTGGAAACAAATGGCTGTCCATTATTTTCCAGGTCACCAGGGAAAACAGCATACACGGAGTTACAAGCATCAAGAAACAGCTTGCTGAGAAGCAATTCTCCTCTGTCCTTCAGAGGAGGTTCCGCTACAAAAATTTCAAATCCAACCAAGCAAATCAACCAATATTTCCAATATATAGCAGTAAAAGTTAAATGACAAGTTTCCAGCATTTGTTACCAGTTACATCAGGTAGGGAACTAATGGGCACAGGTCCCCATAAGCTAACACAAAAATTGTCCCAGTCAAAGTTGCTGAAGAACTCCAGAAAACGGTAAAGGACCTACAAATGTTAAAACAAAATGCTTAATAACAACAATCAAATAACCAAAAGTCTGAACATGCATAGGAACCCTGTTACCTCAAGTGGTCCATGAAAGGATCCATTAAAAACATGAAAAATGTAAAGAACTAAGGTCTCCAGGGCATAAGTAGAAATGAGTCCATGATGAGCGCCCAATATACGACTTTCATAATAACACCATGCCTTAATCAATATTATGCTGCGCTTAAACAGGTGATCCTGATTTATCAAATTATCGACCTACAAAATAAAATATCAGTAATCTCTTTGGACAAGAAATTATTATCACCAGTGGTTCATAAGGAGAGTGAGAGCTCGTAAATTAGAAACATATTTATAAGTGCATAGAAATAACTCACCTCATCAAGGAAGTAGAGGGTACACAACCCACCAACCTGATTAAATGATATGTCTACCACTATATTTTCCACTAGACATTTTATAATCTTCACCTGCAATATAAAAAAATGAAGACACCAAATGCAAGTCATGTAGCAGTAAGAAGAAAAGAAAATTTAATTTTTCATTTTTTGGACTCATATGGCAAAGAAATCTCAGAAACTCATCTACCAAGAGTCAATGTAATCATTATAGCAAGCACGAATTTAAGAACTGAGATGTTTCATCACGAAAGGTTACACTACGTTCGAGTTTTCACAGTGAAATTATGGGACATCAGTTAAATCAACTTGATAGATACCCAATTACATTGCAGCCAAGTCATCAACTATTCTAGAGTGTTCCATAGTAAAAGGGTAAAATGGTAATAGAAAGCTAGCAGATTATCTATAAATGTAATAAGTGGGAGCTGGGATATTCATCATTGAAGTACTGATTTCCTGTTAGGAAAAGGGGGAGAGATCAGGCCTCTTGAATAGCCTAAAACTTGTAATTTCCATTCTGTTGAAATATCAATACAAATACATTTCTCAGTTTACTTCTCTTTTATCATCAGGAACTGAGGATCCTAATATCAGAGCAAAAGATTCTGGAAATATGACTCTCGCAGATCGAGTTGGGGTGTTGGAAACAAAGTTCGACGTGATACAGGAGGAAATGGGGGTGATGAAATCTGATCTCCAGAGAGACATGGCAAGGTTACAACAGAAATTCAATTTAATAATGAAGAAGTTGGATGGACTGGAACGTGACGGGAAGGATAAAGGAAATACGTTCCGTTCGACGGATCCAACTATGAGCTCTGATGCTCCGCTCGAGACCCAGGAGATGGGAGATGTTGTGGAAGGCCGGTTGCGCCATGAAGAGATTGAGAAAGGGGAGGAATCAGGCATGAAGGAAAAGGGACAGGGAGCTACCTCATCTGAGTCGACCATCAATTCAGAAATTTCCCCAAAATCTGAAATAATCGGAGATGGTATAAATAGCCGGAATTGCGGGGATTGTGGGGCTGAAAATGTTGTTTCGGATGGAATTGCAGCTCCGTTGCAAGCAAGGGGGACGAACCGAGCTTCGTACGGTGGCCAGCAAGCTCCGGTGGTAGCTTCCATGGCATCGGAAGTCGCGACCCAGCGTCCGGCGCCGCCGACCATGGTGTCGCCGCCATTCAAGTTGTTGACGAGAGCCGAACTGCAATCAAAGGGGAAAAGGTTCCACGGTGTTCATTCTGTCGGTGGGTTGCTTGAATAGGAGAGGATCCTCAACCTCAATCAGTTCTCAAATGAGGAGAAAATCGAGCTGGAGGCGTTGGTGAGGCAACCAAGGAGGTGTGAAAATGTGGAGGAGCCACTGCCGGTGGTTCTCGAAGAGGCAGCAGGAAGAAATTTCTTCAGCTGGTTGAAGCTAATGATACGGCATAAACCTGGGCTCTATTTTGGAATTGGCCCAAATGGGGGAAGACAAAAGGTGGTTCTTGGAGCTAATCCAATTCAATTTCAACCCATATAGAATTAAAAGTAATATCAACAGCCCAATCATAAGGTCCAACCTTCACAGCCTTAGTTCCCTTAAACACTATTTCTTTAATCAATTCAGCCCAAATTTAGATCCCAACCCTCACGACAATTATCCCCACACAATTTACCAGACCTACCAAACACTGTTCACAATTCACCAAACTACGATGGCTACAATAAGGCCTCAGGAAATGACCGTGAAAAAGGGTCCGATCAGCTACCACTTTATTCCAGGCCGTTGGGTTAAAAATTTGGGAAGCCCGCAAACAAGCCCAACTAGTTATGGAGTTTTTATGGATAAAATTTTGATGGTAGATGGAAGCTTTGCTACACTGGCTAATAGCTACAGCAAGCTTACTCCAAAAATGGTTCAGCTAAATGGAAATTCGAATTTTGAAGTAAACTCGCCATGAGGACAAGGTGGATTTCGAGGCGGGTAATGATAGATACCCAATTACATTGCAACCAAGTCATCAACTATTCTAGAGTGTTCTATAGTTAGTTAGTAAAAGGGTAAAATGGTAATAGAAAGCTAGCAGATTATCTATAAATGTGATAAGTGGGAGCTGGGATATTCATCATTGAAGTACTGATTTCTTGTTAAGGAAAAGGGGGAGAGATCAGGCCTCTCGAATAGCATGAAACTTGTAATTTCCATTCTGTTGAAATATCAATACAGATACATTTCTCGGTCTACTTCTCTTTTATCATCAGGAACTGAGGATCCTAACACAACTTCTAGAAAAAAAACACAAGGGTGAACCCTAATATAAGAGTCAAATATGATTAAAGAGTATATATCACAACAACAACAACAACAAGCTTAAAAGAGAATAACTAAGAGAAGGTACAAAGGAAAAGATATTTGGATATGCAATATCCACCATAACCAGCTGTGACACTGTACATTTTTGCTTCAGTAAATAAAGAAATCTAATATCCCAGAAAAGGGTGACAAGTGACTGTTGCAATTGATGGTATCCGGTAGGCTACATTCTACACTTACTAAGTGCCTATCTATGTTACTATCATGAAGTTATTACATTCTAGAAAAAGTACAAAGCTAAAGACTCGTTAATCTTACATGTCATATAGAAGCTAATCGCAACTGTACCCAGTTGGTTGACAAACAGTCAAACACATGTTGTTTAAAATGGATGTCAAGCAAAGCACAAAATTATATAATAGAGATTAAAACGGTAAGGGTATGTTCTCTTTGCTGTTTTTAGGTCATTTTCAGTTTTCAATTTTCAAAAACACTGAAAATACGTTTACTTACCTATTTTCAAAAACGAATTTCCAAAAACGATTTTAAAATTTACAAAGAAAATGAAAAACGCCAAAAAAGTCATTTTGGTTGTTTTCAGTTAAAATTAAGCCAAAACTTCATTTCTTATTTTTGAAAACAATTTTTCAAAATGACAAAAAGAATGCATTTTCAGTAATATCAAAATGGACACTAAGAGTATAAAACCGAAAATGAATTCAAAACTAAAAACTGAAACATGAAGAGAACAGGCTCTAAGTGTTCGGAAATGGATCTCACACACTATACCAACGAATTAAAAGACAGGGGAGATTGAAATGAAAGAATTTTTATTTTTTATTTTTAAAATAAATAAACTGAAAATATGGAGAAGAGCGTACTTCTGCTTGAATATATTGAACCTCCTTCACATGAAATTCAGCATTCGGATTCTTCTCCTCATTCTCTAGCATATCTCGAACCTGATTGGCCCAGGTATCTTTCAAATTTTGATCATGGCTAAAAGCAGTCAAATCAATGTCGCCATCAGGTAGATAGGTCTTCAAGGGCACAGAGCCAAAGGTACAAACCTGTGGTGTATAAATGGTGTCAAAGAATAATAACAAGTATTGAAAGGAACAACCTCCAGCATCTGATAATAAAAACCCTAAGCATCCACCATTAATTAAGATATTCAGATTCAAAAAAAATGACTCCAACTAATTTCCATGGAAGATACGTATGCATTTATTTATAAACTCGGAATCGCATAGTACATGTCAAGTACTTCTTCCCAGTCAACAAAAATCATATTGCCATCCCATTCACAAAGATGGCCACTCTCCTTTTCATGATTGAAGTAATCAAACTATTAATGATCCACTAAAATACTAAATAAATAACATCATTACTTTCGGCTTAAATTTCTACTTCTCAATAAATCATTATGGTACCACTCCTACAGATAATCTTCCCACCTTGTATTCTAGAATTCTAGGTTTATAGAACACAATATACATCTTTATCATTAAATGATTTTGCATCTCCAAACCACAGTGGGAAAAAGGAACAATTGATGTCTACCAATATTTAAGCATTGTATGCAGATATCAGAACCTTTCATCAGGCAATACAAGAATGGGAACTTAAAAATAGAAGAATACTATCTAGTATCTGCAAATCAAATTGCTTCCACTGTAAAAACTTGAGCCAAAAAGAATAATATAACTGTTTCTTCCCTTTTTTCATATGATCCGACTGTTTCAGCAAACAATACACTAGATCAATTAAACTTTATCATAACTTAAATGCCAAGTGAGAACAGCAGAACCAAATTACAGTACACAATTCAAAAACAGCATCAACCCACAGGATTATTAAGCAACAAGGAGGATCTTCCTAACAACCTGACAGGAGAAGCACTTCTTGATGAGCCGCTGAACATAATCTGCAACTGTTTTTCGGCACTCCTCAGATGGCGGGTTGGGCTGAATGCGGGCAATGAGCTCTGCAGTCCTCTCCTCTGCCTTTATCCATCTCTCTGTATCCAGTGCCCCCATCACAGGACCCGGTTCAGGCAACAGGCCATTAGGCAAAGGTGCACTCGGCTCCGCCCATCCCTCATGTTTTCCCATCCACTGATACCTTTCCTAACACCTCAACCAGCAAAATAAAGCCCCACAAACTCTTTTCCGCAATGCGAAACTAAAAATTAAACTTTCTTCACAACAGCCACGCAAAATGTTGATTACGAGGAAAATGAAATCCCAAATTAATGGAAATACAGCGTGATATATTATATATAAAACCCTGACAAAACAGTAAATGCTTCAACCTTAAATGAATATATGCCACTATACTAGAGTATATCAACTTTGGCATTTATTACCAATTATTAAATTTTATACCAAAAAAGTGTTTTCTATAATACCAACAATAAACCAACCGATTAAAATGGTAATTTCGAAAAGGTAACAAAACCCTAATGAAACACGTTCAAGAGTTTCAAAAACGGTTCAAGAGTTTCAGAAAATGTCGACGAATTCATTAAACCTTGAATTGAAAATAGTAAAAACGACTAAATCAATTCGACATTCAAGTTTTACAAAAAAAATGTTCGTAATCAGTATATAAATAAGAAAGTATGGGGACACGATCGTGTATAGCCCCAAAGAGATTGAGGGGTTTTTTTCAACCCAATTTTTTATTCCTTTTTGCAGCGAGATTTTCTATGAAAAGTGTGAGTTACTGTGTGAGTAAGAGAGAATTGGATTTTCAGGGGGGAAATTGAGAGAAAAATGTTTTTGACATTTGAAGATTTTGATTTGATTTTATGAGTGTGTGTGTGTGTATGTGTGTGAAGTGTTTCTGCATACAGAAATGGTGACAGGTGAGCGTTCGTAGCGAAGGAATTGATGGGGAAAAATTATTGGAAAATGGAAATAAAAATATTTATGGGGAAATTAACATAAGCCCCATTTGACTACTGCCATTTGAGAAAAATAGAGTTGAATAGTAATTTTTAGATAAATGTGTGATTAAACTCTTATTTGGTATTTATTATTTTTAAAATACATTTTTATTTTTCTTATTTTTAATCAGATATTCTTCAGCCCTTATTTGTTCCCCGTTATTTTTAAATATATTTGTATATCTCTTATTTTTAAACGCACATTCTTCAATAAAATAGTATTGCACTCAAATCCAACTTGTTTTCCTTATTTTTTAATCGCACATTCTTTATCAAATCACTATTATAGAATGCATTTTTGAATAAAAACGAGAGTCAAACAAGCTCTCAATAAACTAATATTACGCGTAAATCTAAAATTTTTCTTTATTTTTCAACTACACATTATCCAACAAAATATTATTCTAAAATATAATTTGAACAAAAAATGAGGCTCAAATAAGCGCTAAAAAGTATGGAAAAATTTTAAATTTACATACAAAATATTTTTCTGTGTAAATATTTGGTTCAAAATGAATATGTAGAAAAAAAAAAGTTTTGAAATAATGATTCTCAAACGTGAAAAAAAGAGATTTTTTTTTTTTATGTTCAAAATCCCTCTTTGGACTTTCACTTGTTGCACTTTTTGACCTTGTTATTTGGGTTAATTTAATAAGTGAGTTGAGATGTAGTAATGTTGAGATTATGTTGTCAAATTTTTTGGGACCATGCTACATTACCAGAAGGATTTTGTCAGATCCTTACCAGATACTCACATGGAGTTTTAATAATATAAAATTATCTTCAGCTAGAATACTATTTTGCCTTTAATGAAATATTTTGCAAGGTAAGTCATATATCTTTTAGTTGCTAGATAATTGGGAGTTATTATCTNATACGATTTTCTTTTAACTTTTCTATTTGTTCCAAGTATTCCCTATATTCAATTAATTTTTCATAAGCTCTAGGTTGATCTTCCCTAGTTATATATCCAAAAATAATTCCTTCTGAAATTTCTTCTTTTATATTTTTGTATTTAGTTATGACATTTTCAACTCTTTTTATTTCTTTACTAGTCTCTACAGAGTCAAATCCTATATTAAGTCTACAAGCATAATCTATATCAAAATATATTTCTTTAAGTTTTTCTTGATCAATAGGAACTATATCTTCAGATTTTTCAACAATACTTAATAAAAATGAAATATAATTTAATACAATCATTATTAGACGTGGTTGTTTGTGAAGTATTCATAAAGATTAATAATTAAAACATAAACATATAAAGTATGTAAATAATTACAGTAATCGATGGAAATAAATCAAGCTTTCCTTCCATCATGTTCTTATAGTCGCTTTGCATGTATTTAATTATTTTTATTGAATCAGATGAACATTTATGATTTTTAAAATCATTTGGGTCCACAACTGCTTCCGCAAAAAGGTTTTTCAATTAAGGTTGCATTTCTCACTCTAGAAAACTAGCCGTGTTACCAAAGATGCTATCTCACAGTATTCAGAGTCTCTGTTTTCACCTCTATTCAAACTCTTTTCAGAACAAGTTCTTACTTAAAACAAGATTTTAAAAGATAACTCACACATAAGGTGCTACAATTTTGTTAGAAAACTGTCATTTTCCCCTAAAACATACATCCAAGACAGGTACTTTGGCATGATTAACATCCATTCAAAAACAATATTTTGAAAATCTTTTAAAATCTCTATTTGTACTGCCGAGGAATCATGAGAAATTTAATGAAATCCTTTCAAGGAAACTTTATTGAATCATAACAAACTTCATCTTTATATTCATAAGACTGAAATAATACATGTTGGCTTACTATTATTTACATACCTTTGGTACTCACCTTATGAAGTTTAGAACTCCATAAGTGATTACCTTATTACAAGCTTTCCTATCTTCAAGACTTGCTAAAAATCTTTCTGAATATAAGTAGTGTAAACAGATATAGTATTTCTTTCTAAGATAGAGAATTAGAGGTTTCTCGGATCTGCCTATCTTATTGAACTTCTCCTTCTTATATAGAGGTATGATTGGGAATCTTATCTTCACAGCTATCCTCCATTATTTCTTGCCTGCCATCTTCTTTTATTTGGTAGCAAAACTGTCCACCTTTTGAGCGGGTAAGTAGGTGAAGAGTTATTATCATACGTACTTTTCTTATCTTCAATAGCAACTGTGTTATTTTCTTCAGTTGCTAGTAGAAAGTCA